CATGCTCAGCCTTGAGACGAGAAGACTGAGCAGGGACATGAAATCCCTCTGCAAGTACTCAGAGGCTGTCTGTGAGGAGGCAGAGGGGCTCACCCATTTTCCTGGGACCAGCAACGGAGCAGGGCTGAAGACAACAGGGCGTGGCTGCACAGAACACACGAGACTGCAATGGCGGGAAGACACGGGCAGGCGTGCAGCTGTGTGAGATTGCCAGCCAGGGAAGAAACTGCTGGGTTGGGTGGAGTGGTGTGTGAGAGGAGGGTATAAAGAGGAAGAGCAGAGGAAGGGAATGGAGAGGAGAAGAGAGAGGCAGAGAGGTGCGGAAGAAGGCGCGTGGAGTTGGTGATGGGCTGACTTGGCCACTGCTCACAGGCAGGCAGATGCTAGCAGCGAGGGGAAACCCTCAAGAGACACAGCTCCCCATTGCTGCAGGGGCAACACCGTTCATTGCCGTAGAAACAGGAGAAGAGGGACAGAGCAGGCAAGAGCTGGATGCTTTGGGAAGCACAGCTGTAGAAGGTGTAAATGGCAATAAAGAGGACAGGTGAGCACACTGGCTTCCTTGTGTCTTTCCTCATGGAAATAAGGAAACAAGGCATATTTAGAGTGCCCCTCCCTCCTAATACAGTCACACTGTCACAAAGAGGAAGGTCAAGATCTCTTCTTGCTGATGCCAGAATGTAGGACATGGAATAATCAATTCAAGCTGCAACAACCCAGATTCAGGCTGGACATCAGGAAAAGCTTCCTCACTGTCAGAGCAATACGACAGTGGAACCAGCTGCCTAGAGAGGTGGTGAACCCTCCCACCCTAGAGATTCAAAAAGAAACTGGACAGCCATCTGAGTGGGATGGTGTAACATGGTGTCCTGCAGGGGGTGGGACCCAATGGCCTTCATGGCCCCTTCCAACTCTACTATTCTATGATTCAGTGATTCTATGCTCAGCTGGATCTCTCAGCTTGGACCTCTCATTGACCATGATATCTTTCTGGAAAGCCTGGAGAGGCTAGAAGAGGCAATGCATTGCAGTGGTTCCACTCCTACTTGACTGGTCAATTCCAGAAGGTGGTACTGGGCGATTATTGCTCTGTGCCATGGCTGTTATGCCGGGGAGTACCAACAGGTTCTATTTTATCTCCTGAAGACTGCAGTCCTGACTAGCACCCCTGGACTGTCTCAGCAAGGCTGGAAGTTCTGCCTTTGCCATCCTGCCAGCCTTTCCTTAGACCTGGCTTAGTTTTTCCATCAGCCCCTTTGTCAAAATCTTTTGTATTTGCCTGGACTTGGACTGCAATATAATAGCACTGGTATCAGGTGAGATACCTGGCCATAGTCTAGTCTACTTGTTTTGGATAAGTTCCTGCTAGTACAGCTTGACATTGTCAACAAGGTGCTTGGACAGGTTTGTGCAACCACATCTGTACTGGATCCTTGTCCCTTTTGGCTAATAAAAGGTAGTAAGGAGGGAACTGCTGATTGGGCCATGGAGGTGATTAATGCTTCTTTATGAGAGAAGTGGCCCCTGGCCACTTGCAACAAGAGGTGGTGAGACCACTCCTGAAGAAATCCTCCCTGGATCCAGGACTCAACAATTTTAGGCCGGTGTCAAACATCCTCTTCCTGGGCAAAGTTCCTGAGCAGGTGGTGGCCAACTAGCTTCAGGCACTCTTGGATGAGACTGATTTTCTGGATCCATTTCAGTTGGAGCTCAGGCCTGGTTTTGGCATGGAAGCAACTTTGGTTATTTTGTATGATGACCTATGCTGGGAGTGCGACCCTGTTGGTTTCCTGCACCTCTCAGCAGGTTTCAATACCATTGACATTGTATCCTTCTGGGACAACTGTCTGAACTGGGTGTGAGAGGCACTGTATTGCAGTGCTTCTGCTCCTACTTGGATGGTAAACTCCAGAAGGTGCTGCTTGGGGGATATAGCTCTGCCCCTTGGATCCTCCAGTATTGGGTTCCTCAGGGCCAGTCTTGTACCCCATTCTGTTTAGCATCTACATGAAACTGCTGGGTGAAGTCATCTGGAGTTTTGGAGTGCATTGCCATCAGTATGCTGATTACATGCAATTCCTTTTTCTTCTTTTCATCTCCAGCAAATGAGGCTGTGGATGTGCTGAACTGGTGTCTGGCCATGACAATGGGCTGGGGCTCTAGGAGAAGGACCCCCAAATATGATCTCAAGTTCCAGGTAAGAATATATGGGAGAAGGTGATCCTTCAGATAATCTGCCCCCAAGCTGTTTAGGGCTTTGAATGTTAGTACCTGTACTTTGAATTGGGCCCAGATTTCAATCAGCAACCCCATGTAACTGGAAGAGGACTGGCGTAAAGGATTCTTGTGAGCCATTAACAATCTTGCTGCCCTGTTTTGGATCAGCTGAAGTTTCTGAATCATTTTCAAAGGCAGCTCCATGTACAGCACACTGCAGTAATCCAAACAAGGGGTTACCAGAGCATAGATTACTGTAGCTAAGCTTTCTCTGTCCAGATAGGGTCATAGTTGGTATATCAGTTTAAGCTGATAAAAGGTGCTCTGTGCCAGAGTCCCCCCCACCTGTGACTCAAATGGTAACTCTGGATCCAAGAACAGTCTCAAACCTGTCCTTTAGGGAGAGTACAACCCCCTCCTGATCAGGCTGAATATCACCCAACTGGATAGACAGTCCACCCACAGCTCTGTTTTGTGTGGACAGTCCACCCACAGACTGCACAATCTTGTCTGGACTGAGCCTGTTTGTTGGCCTTCATCGAATCCATGCTCAGACACTGATTCAGAGCAGCCACTACCTCACTTGGGTCTGATGAAAAAGAGTGGTAGAGCGGCATGCTATTTGTGTATTGGTGACACCTCCCATATAACCTCCTCCAGCTAATTCATGTAGATGTTAAATTTAATTTCTATACTGCCCAACAGCCAAAGCTCTCTGGGTGCTTCACAGCAACATATTTAAAGACAATATAAGCTAGTCCAATTAAAATGTGTTAAAAGATCATTAAAACATCACCAAAGTTGGCAATATAAAATTAAAACCAATTAAAACCAGAAAAAAACAAAAAATATACATTAAAAAGACACAGTTAAACCCTATTAACAGCCAGCAGGATCCAGTACCTAATTAAATCTACTGAAGTAGAGGATGGACTTTGCCTGGCACTGAAAAGATGGTAAAGTTGGCATCAGGAGGAACTCAGTAGAAAGCTTATTCCGTAACTGGAGGGACCACCACTGAAAAGGCTCTTCACATTGTCATCATCATCCAGGTCTCTCTTGGAGGTGGCAGAGAGGCCTGAGAACTTGATCACAGTGTTTGGGTAGATAGTGCTTGGGAGATGTGTTCCATCAAGTACTGTGGTCCTGAGCTGTTTAGGGCTATACAGGTCAAAACCAGCACCTTGAATTGGGCTCAGGCAGCTAGCACAAGTGAGCCAGAATCAGTGTTATATTATCAGACCGTCTGATCCCTGTTATTAATCTGGCTGTCACATTATGCACAAACTGCAACCTCTGAACAGTCTTCAAGGGAAGTTCCACATAAGAATGCATTGCAGTAGTCTATCTTAGGGATTACCAGAGCATAGCTCACTGATAGGTTATTTCTGTCCAGATAGGAATGTAGCTGATCTATCAGCTGAAATGGGTAGAAGGTGCTCCAAGCCACCGAAGCCACCTGGGCTTAAGTGACATTGATGGCTGAAGGAGCACCCCCAAGCTGCGAACCTGCTCCTTTTAGCATTAGCATCTTGTAATCCCTCATTACATGAGGGATATAGCAAGGTGCAGCAAAGTGCCACAAGGATGGTGGCTGGTTCGCAGGGTAAGCCATATGAGACACTGAGGGAACTGGGTTTTTTCAGCCTGGAGGAGACTCATAGGGGACCTGTTAGCAACTTATACGTATGTGAGGGGTGTCATGAGGAGGTGGGTCATGACCCTTTTCCCCTGTGGATGAGGGCAATGTTCGTTCCAATGGAGCAAAGCTCAGGGAACCAAGATTCAGGTTGGAATGCAGGAAGTACTTCCTGAAACTTAGGATCCCTAGGGCATGGAATGGGCTTCCATGGGAGGTGGTTGAAGTGCCATCAGTGAGGGTGTTCAAGGATAGGCTGGACATGCACATGGTAGGCATGAGCAGAGCTGGCTGGAGCCAGGGGTCAGACTAGATGGCCCAGGAGGTCCCTTCTGACTCATTCTGTTTGTGCTTCAGAAACAGTACTATGTGTTATCCACTGCAGTATTCAATAACTATAACATGGGTAAATTGTATTTAAAAGCAACTGGACTTACTTGTGTAAAATATAAATACTGCAGGTTATTCAAGCATAACCATCTGAAACCCAGTATGTAGCATGAGAAGTCTAACCAGTTAGAAGGTTACCAACAATTATACTGAAAATAATTTGGACTGGTTCACAAATGAAGATGTCTCTACTGAAATACATTCTCTTTGAGACAATATGGAGTTTCTCTGCAGTGCATCAAATGTGATAGCCAACTTGCATAAGCTAATCATTACTTGATGCTGGGGTTATTAAGTGATGAAAATGGACATGCAACCCAGCCTTTGAAAGAGGGCAAGTTCTGCCACTGTATGGGCATACTGGTTCCAAGTGGGAGTGAATTAGTAAAATCCTGTATGTAACTTTTCCCCCTGTCATTAAATAGTTTACTGAAAGTAGCAATCATGATGGACTTCTCAAACCTCAGTTTTGGGAAACTTTTGGGATTCGTAAAAGACTATTTCACTACTACAGCATTAGAAAATCTGTACAAAAAATTAGGATTTGAAAAAAAAATTCAACTAGAGTTGTCAAATATTCCAGACGGTGGTGAAGATGGTGGAGAACTGAAAGAGAAATTATATTCAACAGGGTTTATAGGGAGAGCGGCCATGGAAACAAACTATTCCCCAAATATGTAGAATCTGACATAGCATGCTAGAATGGTACCTGAATGTGAGAAAAGGGTTTAAATAATACTGCAAAGCTTCATGCTACAGGTTTTGAATATTTGTTTCATTTCACATTTACAAATACAGAATATTAGCCAGGTGTTCAGTTCCATCTCCTTGGTAAATTCCTATATATCAGCAATTCAGGCTTTCCTCTGAAACCAGGGGTGGGTGAGGGGGTATAATCAATCAAGCTTAAACTGCTGACTGAACAAATGTCTGCCTTCCGCATAAGAGTTAACCAGCTTATATTTTAACTCTGCTCAACTTTTTAATCATGTGTTCAAATTAATGGCAAAGATCACTGTATACAGATACTAGAAGTCAGCTTAACTATCTATCTCAACTTCTATCTCGAAGAATAGAAGAGCAGAAGGGTGAATTATCATAAGTGCTTTTAATATCTCCGGTTCAAGAACAGGCAATTGTTTTGGACTACAATCCCATAATCCCTCATCATTGGCACTGTTGGCTAGAATTTATAGGAACTGGAGTCCAGAATATTTGAAGATGACCAGGTAGTCTATTCCTGCTTTTAATTGATGTTAAAAGTCAACTCTGGCAGGAACAATTATTTATGCTTTTAATATGCATTTAGTCTGGTATTTGTTTTAAAGATGTAGAGGCTTCTGCAATACAGGATTTACTAAGACAGCATTGTGTGCACCATGTGCAATACTCAAAACTGTTAGCATGCATTAAAAAAATAGTTGTAGCTGTATTCACCAAATATTTGGTTGTGACAGTACAGGTATTTTGAATCAATTTCAGCATGCAACTGACAAAAATGGAGAGAAGAAAAAATTAAAGACAAATCTGAGAGCTTTCTGGACAGTGCTTCTCCAATCATGCTCTATCTTCACATGCCTTTCTGCAGGTGAAAGTTTGGACATGCAATTTAAACAAGAGATGGCTTTCAGTTCAAATTCAGGCCATTTGCTGCCAAGACGGCCTTCTAGAATAGTGCTAAACTCAATTATACTTCCTTGCCTTAAGTTCAGCAACACTTTCTTAAATTCATTGCTTGCCTTCAGCACAATATCTTTGGTTATATCCTCCTCTTCTATCAGCATATTTCCATTTATACTTCTGAAAGGCATTCCCACAGTTATTGCAAATTTATAACGGTCAAACCTTTTCATGTGACAATTATGCTTTGTCAGATACTTTAGACGACAGAGTTCCTCTTCTTCCATGGTAACTCTTTTTGGGTCACACACTGGATAAATTTCACCATATAAGCATCTCAGCCAATCTCCAATAAACAAAGGAAGCATGTTTACTGCTGACTCCGCACTATTTTCAATGTCAGTTACTCTAACATATTTGAACCTTCCAGTCCATGTCACTCTGTGGCCCTCCAGATGACTACATAAAATCTGAGTACGTGCCATGTTGGTTTCCTTCCAAGCCCGAGGCCCACACAAAAACCCATATTGATTCCATGTCAAAGTGGAGTTGTACACTTTCATTCCCTCTGAGCGATATACATAAAACCAACAGAACATTAATATAGCAGTAAGCCACACCAGTATAAGTTTAACAATTGAACTCCTTGTTAAGGATTTAACCATTTCAACTACAGATATGCTGGTTCTCATCCACCTTTGGAAAAGTAAGGGAACAGCACATAACACGAGGGTTACCACAATCTTCACAAGTTCTAGTGTTACGAACCATTTTATGAAATGGATGAGAAACATCAGTATAATGCCTATCGCTAGAATAGGAAGGGCAAACAGGAACAAAAAGTAACCAACTGAGGCACGGATTAGACCAATGCCAGATGACTCTTGTAAAATAACCACTGACAGTTCACACCACATGAAACATACTAAATAAGGAACCAGATAGCAATATATGCCTTTAAAGTTCCTCATCTGTGACATCCTAATGAAGAGATAAAACAAATACAGAAACAAAAGGCATGGGATGCTCAGGTTGAGCACAAAGAAATGACCAACAGGGATGCTGTAAAATGTTTTCCCCAATAACTGTAAGGGACCCAAATTTATAGGTACCATCTGTAATAAGGAGAGGGAGCCAGCAGCAACCTCCGTTAATAATGCTCTTCGTGTGTAGGGTTTGGCACTTGTGCCCAAACTCATGTAACTTGTCACCATAAAGAAAACTGAGATTGTAGCTAACTCTGAACATGGTATCCAGTCCTTGCTTGCAATAGGGAAAGAAAAAATGACAAAGAAAACAGAAAGAAGGAAGTAAAGATAGGGCTCTAAATGGTTCCAGCCAAAGTTAACTTCTGCTTCTTCAACATCTAGGTTTGGTTCAAAACGAAGCAGCAAGTCAGTGAGGGTACGGAAGTTTTCCCAAGCTTTACTATCCTGGAATACTTTCAGGGTGCAAATCACCATGGAAATGAAGGCCAGATAGAAGATAACTAATGGGATAAAAAATGCAAAGAAGTCAATTGTCAGATTACTTATGATAAAGAAGAATATGAGAGCATTTATGTGATGTGTTGGAACAATAGTTGAGAGCCAATGCATTCCTGCTTTCGATGCAACATCTATGAGGTGTTCTTTGATTTCCATAATAGCATGAAGTGGATACTTTATGACCTGGAAATGAATAAAATGCAGTTTGATCAATAATTATTTTCAGTATCACATTTCACCACATGCCTCTTGGATAAAATGAGCAAGCCAATGATGCCACATATTTCAGATGGCTACTTTTTAATTATCTTGGTGATTAGGCTAGAAGAATTGTTAGGTTCTTAACCAGTGCCTATATTACACAACATGTCACCAGTTTATTCCATCATTCCTTTTACTACTGAGCTGGCTAAATTAGAAGCAAAACAGGCCCACTGAAAAAGGTACAGCACTTTCTACATATTTCCGGGACTCCCTGGATATGCAGCAGTCAAAAAGTTAAACTTTTTTTTAAAAAATCCAGAATTGCTCTAAACTTGTCCCCTCTCACCACATAAACAAACATGATTTTACAGTGTTTTGATTTGTAGTCAAATTGAAAAAAAAAATATGAAGAGCGAATGTAAGAATAAGAAGATGCTCTTGAAAAATACAGTGATACAGATCTTGCAAAGCTACAACTACAAAAGTGTAAGTTGCACATTTTGTACTGAATGAACTGGATAAGTTAGAATTCTGGCCCTGGGTGTGTGTAGTAGAAAGAAATGAAAATCATTAGATTAGAAAGTGTCTTGACATTCCAGGTTGCTGATACTTTCCTTTTAAGAAAAGGATCATAAATGGGTAGGATAAGTACAAGTCACATTTGAGCATACAGTGCACAAATCTACAATTTTCACCTTGAGTCGGAGTGGAAGATCCTCTGGACTCTTTCCTGCTAGTTCATCATCATCATTGGCATCATCATCATCTTGCACAAGGAGGTTAGTTGGGATTATGCCCTTTGCATACTTTTTTGTTATTTCAACAAAATCATCCAAGGCAATGTAATTTGTAGCTGAAAATTGTTAACATAAAAGTATTATTAGAAATAAATTTTGGAGATATTCTATGAAGAAAACAGACAACAATGGTGCTAGCAAGAATGGATTTAGAGCACAGTCCTCTGCAGGTATTAGACAAAGTAAATATCTTATAACTCGCAACATTCACTATCCATAATGAAATTGCATGGTTAAGGGTTGGCACTAAAACTGTGATCTTGTAAAATTGTAATCACAATTTAGATGGTTGTAAGGAATCAAAAAGGACTGTCTGCAAAGACAGTGAAGATGCAAAAGCCTGTCAGGTCAGAAATGTTGATATCAGAACAAGGAGACTTTTAGATTTTAGTATTTCATTTTCTGGTATATGCCTCAATTGATTTGCTATATAATATAACTTTAATTAGGGATACCCAATCCCCCTATATTTTGTGACCTATACAATGTTTTCAATTTATCTTTGCTTTTGTATCCTCATTACAAAACTTGTTAATCATATCTTGCTGTACTTTTAAATTTTTAACTATTAACTTGATTGGTAGCATCATGATTCTGGTTCCTGACTCCAAGCAGAACAGAGCACTTCAGAGCAAGCTACTCCAGCTGGTCTAGGGCCTCTGAGATATAAGCAGCCAAGCTCCCAGGGAACAAGTGACCAGAGCAAGCGAAGCAGGAGAGCAAACAGGAGTGTGGTGGCGAAGGTCCCCAGTATTTTTCCTCCTTTGTTTCTCTTCTTTATTTCACCTTAACCTTATCAGCCCCCGCATACGGTGGCAAAAACAATGCACCAAAGAGACTCCACAGAGGTGCCCTGCAACAACTACAACTGCTGCACACTAGTAGCCCTGTTACAAAAAAAGGTGAGAGCACTAGAGCACTGAGTGTCCATCCTCCAGTTAATAAAAGAAAACGAAGAGTTTCTAGACAAAGTGGAGGAGCTGCAACAGGTAAGAGTAGTCCAGAAGGAAGTTGAGCGGCAAGTCGAGGCAGCAGAAGAGAACCCTGAGGGAACGGAAAATGAGGAAACTCGTTAGAACAGGGTGACAGACAGATGCAGAAGACCTAGAAAACACTCTGCACCCATGGAAGTAGTGGAACTCTCAAACCGCTTCAGGTTCCTTGAGGAAGGGGCATGTGAGAAACCCACTGTGAAAGAACTTCATAGCACACTGAGTAACTCTGAAAAAGAGACAAAAGACCAATCAAGCAAGGAAAGAGATAGCAAAGTCTAGAATAAAAGGAGAAGAGTGCTAGTTGTGGGAGATTTCCTCTTGCGTGGGATGAAAAAATATGTATTTCGTGATGACCCCAAGAATTGCCAACTATGTTGTCTCTCTTGTGCCAAGGTTAAAGATGTAACCAGCAAGTTCACACAATACATATGGCACACTGACAAATACCCCTTCCTTCTCTTCCATATGGGAACGAACGACACTGCCATGAGAAGCTTCGCTGAAATAACATCCGACTTTTTTCCCCCCGATTTATATACTGCCTTTTTCCTACAAAGGGCTCAAGGCAGCTTACATCTCCTCCTCCATCTTATCCCCACAACAACAACCCTGTGAGGTAGGTTGGGCTGAGAGTCTGTGACTGGCCCAAAGTCACCCAGTTGGCTCCATGGCTGAGCGGGGACTAGAACCCAGATCGTCTGAGTCCCAGTCCATGCTCTTAACCACTACACCACACTGACTTTGAAGCTCTAGGGAGGAAAATCAAAAACAAGGGGCCCAGATAGTCTTCTCCTCAATCCTAGAATTATGTGGAAGAGGAACTGTTAGGGAAAGAAAAATCCTTCAAGTGAATGACTGGCTATGATGGTGGTGATCTAAAGAGAGATTTGGATTCTGGGACCACAAGCTAAGCTTCCTGGAAGATGGACTACTGGCAAATGGTGGGTTGCACCTCACAAAGAATGGGAAACAGATGTTTGGTCACTACATGGAAAACTTCATCAAAAGAGCTTTAAACTAAAACCTATAGGGGAGGGAGATGTGTAGCATGGCACACCATCACCTGGCAAAGACTTATATATTTCAACAGAGAAAAACTCTCAAGCAGGGCCCAACACATCCCAAAATGTAGGAAGAAAACCAGGGCACGGCGAGAATGAACTTTGATGTCTCTACATCAATGCCCAGAGTATGGGAAACAACATGAATTGGAGCTCATATTATATAAGAGCAATTATGATCTTATAGGAATAACAGAAACTTGGTGGGATGACTCACATGACTGGAATTCTACAACTGATGGATACAACCTGTTCAAGAAAAATAGAAAGGACAAAAAGGGAGGAGTTGTACTATATGTAAGAGACACATATATCAGCACAGAAATACAAGAAGAGGAACATAGTAGCCCCACTGAAAGCATCTGGCTAAATTTAAAGGGAGCAAAAAATAAGAACAACATAGTTATTGGCACATATTGCCATCCACCCAGTCAAAAAGAGGACAAGGATGCAACCTCCAAAAAGCAACTTGCCAGCATTTCCAAGAAGAATGATGTAGTCATCACGAGGGACTTCAATTTCCCTGATATATGCTGGGAGACAATTCTGCCAAGCCTGGCCCCTCCAAGAGATTCCTGACATGTGTTGCCGACAACTCTCTCCAGCAGAAAGTAGAGGAACGAGAGGATCAGCTATCCTTGATTTAATACTAACAGGGATGGCCTGGTGGACAAAATAGCAACGAGGGGAACTCTGGGGGAAAGTAACCATACGATCAATTATGAAGGAGACAAAGGGTTACTGGAGCCAAACAAGAATCCTGGACTTCAAGAAAGCCACCTTTAATGAACTCAGAAAAATGATAAGAGAAGTGCCATGGGAACACACCCTTAAGGGGAAAGGCATCCAAGAGGCGTGAGAAATCTTGAAAAAGAAGATTCTCCAAGCACAGCTACAAATAATTCCATCAGGAAAAAATCTGTAGAAGACAGCAGAGGAAGCCCACGTGGCTTCACCAAAAGTTAAGTGATAGCCTGAAAGAAAAAAGGAACATGTACAGGAAGCAGAAGCAAGGCCAGGCCACAAAGGAACAACATAAACAAATAGCAAGGGATTGCAGGGACAGCATCAGGAAGGCTAGAGCAGGAAATGAACTGAGAATAGCACAGGATGCTGAATACAACAAGAAAGCCTTCTTCAGATGCATCCAGAACAAAAGACATGAGAAAGAGAAGGGTTTCCAGCTACATAAGGTGGACGGCAGTGTGATAACAGACAAGGAAAAGGCAGAGGCATTCAATTCCTACTTCAACCCAGTCTTCTCCCAAAAGAAAATCTACAACCAAGAGGAATTACAAGTGAGAGATAGCAACCCAAGATTGACAGACAAATGGTCAAGGAGTACCTAGATGGAATAAACATGTTCAAATCCCCAGGCCTGATGAACTCCATCCCAGAGTCATGAAACAGCTAGTGGAGGAACTCTCAGAACCACTGGCTATTATCTTTTGTAAATCTTGGAAAACAAGAGAAGTGCCAGATGACTGGAAAAGGACTGAAGTTGTACCCATCTTCAAAAAAGGGGAAAAGATGAACCTAGGAACTACAAATCAATTAGTGTGAGGTCACTTCCTGGAAAAACTCTGGAGCAAATTATCAAAAAATCCATCTGCAAGCACCTTGAAGAAAAGGCTGGTTAGAAGGCAATGGATGCCACTAAGCCCACCTGAAGCTTAAGTGGCAGAGATGGTTTCAGGAGGACCTCCAAGCTATGAACCTGTTTCCTGAAGAGCATTGCAACCTCTACCAGAACAGATTGAGAATTCTTCAACTTGGTCAGAAGAACCACCTACTAACCAGTCTTGTCTGAACTGAGCTTCAGTTAATTAGTCCTCATCCAGATCTTCAGGGTCTCTTCCAACCATAGCCTTCTGTTTGTATGGTTATCATTTTGGTACTTGCAAAATGAAACAGTAGCTTTAGTTGTGAAGTGACTTCAGCTGGATGGACTCGATACTTATTTCACTAAGCAAACACATCTGCGAGTAGGATCCTCCATTCTGCCACTTACCATCCTCCAGCTTCAAAGTACTGGAAAAGCTGAAATTAGCCACAACATAGGATATCATGCCAAATGCCTACTACGTAAACAGCACATCTGTTAAGAGCACAGCCTTAACAGCTGTAGTTTCCTAGCATTTTGGAGCCTGGGTGAATATCAAAAGCCCTTAACCTAACATATTAAACTGAAAGGGGTTTTTTAAACAGACTATATCTATAAAGTGGACACACACCCAAAAACTAAAGAGTACCACCATTCGTGGTTCAGAAATTCATGTTTCAGAATAAGATTAGTTATCTTTTCATCTAATGGGATTCTTTGTCCCTGTGGCTAAAAGTTTATGGTTTAAGCAAAGATACTGTTCAACAGATTTCTCTCTAGATAATAATACAGGAACAGCTCTAAACCATATAGAAATATTAAAGTTTAACATAAGAAATGCTTCCTTACTTTCACTGCTCACCAGTTGTTCTAGCATTCTTCTTTGCCTCTGCACAGACTTTGGAACTGGGCCAAGTGGTTTCTCACCACCTATTTTAACAAATGTGAGTAAAATGCAACATAGTGACAGAGGGAAAATTCAAAGAGAAGAAAATCCACATAAATAATATAGAACATCAGTCAACTGTGCAGTATTATGTACTCTTTAGAATAGTTGTGATCCACAATAATAAACAACATGGTTCAATAATCATACAAATTTAAGATATACACTGATTAAATATTTTGAATTTACTAATTAGTGACAAGTCATGCTACTTAAACACAAATACTTTTTCTATACATAGGTACCTTTCCTAATTAAAAAGAACTAATTAAAAGAAAGAGATGTTACAGTTTCAGAAACAAAATGCTGTCACTCATTATGCAAAGGAAATATAATTTTATATTGTAGTTAACACATCACAAACAAAATATGTTTAAAACAAACAAGTGTACTGAAATTTGACTTCATCCTTCAAAATTTTACTTCCCAATAAATGGGAGCTGAAGGGCATTACAGGGACCAACATTATTAAAAAGTAAAATATTGCAGTAGACATGCAAATTTCATCAATGTGCAGTTCAAGGCAAATTAAAAATAGATTGCTTACTTGTAACTGAAACTCTTTGAGTGATCAACTCTGCAGTCAAATATGGGTGGAGTGACTCAGGAAAAAAATCTGGATCCTTCTAGAGCTAGTGAAATAAATAAAGGTGAAAGGCACATCCCCAAAGAGCTTGGCTTTTTGCATATTCCAAAGGCATGGCAAGTTTCTTCTTGCGCAATTTCAGTGGATTGCTGCAGCATCACATCAGAAATCAAACCAAAGAAATACTTGATAATGGGAGTGCAGATGATTTATTTGACTGCACACAAGATCACTCAGAAAGCTATAGTAACCCATAAGCAATCTGTCTTTATTCTTTGTGGACTGTGTGCAATTCTGCTTACCTTGAAATAGTTTGCCTGACTTTCCATGAGCCTATCTCATGATCCCACTGGAGAAATTCTTTTTCAAGGGAGACCTAGAGCTCTGGGAGACAAACTGCAAAGAGTAGGAGCCCATGCCAAGAGATTGGGAACTAGACCAGGAGATGCCTGGGCCACTGTGAGAGACAGTTGTGGGTCCATCCCACAAGAAGAGGGGAGCACTACTTCTGAGAAAGAGATTAAGTGAACACGTAGTGCTCAAGGGCAATGAAGTCTCAAGAAGTAGGCCAAGACAAGCACTGTGAAAAGTAATGTCCAGCTGCATAGGTGGGCTTCTTATGAGGGACTTCTTCCAGAAACCTCTGATGTTCTATGGTTGAGCCCTAAAGAGTGGACTAAGAAAGCTTTAGTTCATAAGTCTTATTTCTCAGCAGGAATAGCAGTTGGAAATAAAATACAGCAGGACCCCCATATCCGTTGGCTTGGTTACCATGTTTTCAGTTAACTGTGGTTGACCTCAGACCGAAAGAGAAGTTGTACAGTGCCATAAAATGCCAAAGGTCATAAAGTACTTCGTGTAAGCAAAGATTCTTGATTAAACAGGGAAATAATAGCTAAGTGTTCAGGTTTGGGCAGGAGCCCCTCCCCTTCCAGTTCCTGGAGTACGGGGGAGGGGGTTCTGGCTTATTCCCTCAGGTCCTATTGAGACTGCTATGGGTCTCTGAACCATGGGGCAGGTGAGGAGAGATCCTGAGTCATTCCAGCCCTTATTGTCCAAGGGTAGCATGATGTAGTCTGTAGTTTGATGACAGCCAGTGGGCTGGAGGGTGGGTTGCGTGACTGCACTGATGATCAAAGAATGAAAGTTTTATGGAAACAACTTGCCTTTTCCTCTTAGTTGTCTCTGTGCATCACACATATGGGTGACTAGCTAGCTTAACCTGTAGAGAAGGTGGAGGGGGCTATTGTCACTTGAGAATGGAGGACAACACTCCCCATGAAGGCGTAGTCTGTCCTCGTGTAAACATCCCGTCAATAGTGCCAGATGAACACTGAAGGCATGGACAACATGGCTGCCTGACAGATGTCCTGCAGGGGAACCCTGGCCAGGAGTGCCAGGGGTGTGGAAGGGGCTTATGTGGAAGAGGACTGTACGCATGTCTTGAGGTAGAGGCCTGGCATCTCACATGCAAGGCTAATGGTGTTGGGGAAACATTTGGAAAGTCCCAGTGAGGAAATGGGGTCCCCCTTCCTTTGGCCATCATAGCACATTAAGTGTCTTCGGGAGTGGCGCAGCTGTTCAGTTCTGGACTTATAGTGGCCCTGCTGATGTCAAGTAGGTCACTGAACAGTCATTTAAATGGGATGATGTAACTCAGTGTCTTTAATAGCAGGGGGTTGGACCTGATGGCTTTCTGACCCCTTCCAACTGTACTATTCTATGATTCTAGGTGCAAGATGAACTCTACAGGAGAGGATGGGCTGCCAAAAATAAACCATGGAGTATGATGTCCTGGTTGAGGGGGAAGGATGAATCCAACTAGAGCCTAAAGGCTGGGTCTAGGTGGAGGACTGCCTTGTACTTGTGGAGGGTCATTTATGGGGGCAAGTATGATGGATCATGTGTTCCCCTGCTTGTTGATGTAATACATCGCCATCATTTTGTCTGATGTGCTGAAAGCTGATTAGCACCTTGTGGGTGGCCAAAAACTCCAGGAGGTTGATGTGACACTTTGCCTCACAGCAGTTCCATGACCCTTGCATGCACAGGTTGTTGCAGTGTGCTCTTCAGTCAGTGTTGGAGGCATCCATCTTGACAGTGACTGTGGGCTCTTTGGGGAGATAGTTGATCCCTGCTGTGAAGAGATCCACCAGAGCAGAGGCTGGGGCACTCAGAATGGTCTCATGAGGATACTTCCATGTTGTAGGCGACGATAAACCACAGTTGTAGAGGCCTCATCCAGAGCCTGGTGACGCCAACCACTGCTACTGTGGTGGCCATGAGACGGAGGAGTTTCTGGATTGCGTGGGTCATGGTGTCATCTCTTGTTCTGAGGTTGGTTGCTAGGTTGCATAGTGCTGTCACTAGACCAGCTCTGTTAACCCTGGGATACTTTCCAAAAGTGGCGAGCATCTCCACACACTACACTATTAAAACTATCTCAAAAAGCAGGACTGGTGGAGACACCCCACCATCTGAAAGAGGTCTGTCACTGTTGGGATAGTAGGCAAGAAAAATCAGTGGCCTGATAAAGTAGTCTGACTTCTCATGATCACAGTATATAAATTACTGTAGTGCCCAGACACTTCATACTATCAGAAATCATACAGAGGAATGGAAGGTTTAAGTCCCCCTTCTAATTTTTTCTTTATTTAAAGTTTAAGTGCACCATTCTTATTTTGAAAATATTGATTTTTGTTAAACTTCTACTCTGTAATGGATACAAACCTTCACTGTCAACTTGGCCAACATTTTCTAATAGTTCTGAAACAGCCATTTGCTTTTTCTTCTTTGGGTTTAGTTTCCAGTACATGACTAAGGCAGCTTTTCTTACAGCTCTTTCTAAATCAGTTTCTGAGGATAATTTCTTCACTTCTTGCTCATTCTCTGAAGTGATGCCTCAAGAAAAAGGGAAGCACATATAAACATATAAAAGGGGTAGCATTACCCTACACTTATGCATGTAGCAAGACATTCATAATTTGCTATTATAAAGGAAATCGTGAAGTACTTATGAAAACTGAATCACATTTCAAAATGAGAGCTGCACTCCTGTTTTCTCTAAACCCACTGCTTATTAAGCTGCATAATCCTTTAAACTAAAATGGCTATATACAGATTATGTCTTATAGGTCAATCTTGCAAACACAGACCCTTTTAAATAAATTGTTTATTGAGAGCTTTGCTGAGAAGCAGAGTAGATCTTGCAATGAGTGAAAACATGGCAAGCAAGAGGTCACGCTCCTCTCTGATAGTTGCTTTACTGTGCAGAACATCCACATTGTTTACTCAGAAGGTTCATACATTCCCTCCCTCTTTCATTGCAAGCCATGAATAAAGTACAGAATAGTGGTGCAAGAGTAACGAAGGCATATTTTTTCATCACTGATATTAAAGATCTTGTTTGAGTTTGTTTGTTTTTGCAAATTTCTCCATCAATACGATCAGTAGACTTTGAGATTAAAAACCCGAAAGGTGGAAAAAGTGAAACTGACAGACCTGTCCATCCTTTCTGGTAGTCAGCATCTCCCCTTTTCTATTCATATGTCATTTAAAATATTGTTCAACATTTTCTTCCTGTATGCAGAATTTTTAAAAAGGGATACAGGGGGAATCTAGGAAATTACAGCTTGGTTAACTTGTGCATGCTACTCATAATAGCTCTTGAAGATTTCCTAGAATGGGTAATTTGGGGGACAACATATTAAGCCTATACCCACATCTGTAATTCTGTTCCAACATGCCCCCCTTTCCTAGTAGTTAGTGGCTCTGCATGTTCCTTTTGCACCACTTGTCCCTGGCTCATCCCATTGTTCCTGACTACTGGCATACTTAGGGCTATTGCCTACATCTTAACCCTGATAATGTGGTTGATAAATGTTTTGTCTATTCAGGTAGATAGTGCTCAACCAGAAGGGATTACAATCTCTCAAAAAGATCAGGTACACCGACTAAGTTGGTCATAGATCCATCCTTGTGGCTGGGGGCTCAGTGGCACAGAATGTCTTTGTCAGTTAAGGCCAACAACTGACTTCTCCTGGACAGAGATAGCATAGCCTCAATTACCCAGACTTTACTGGAATATCTTTGAAAACTGATCATAAGCTTGAATTAGTCAAGAATGTAGCTTTAAAACTTCTTAACATGGACCAGGAGGTAGGATCATAGCACACCTATTTTGAAGTAATGGCAATCCTTCCTGCTAGCTTCTCAACTCAATTCAAAATGCTGAAGTCTATGTTTAACACCCTACGGAATTTAGGACTCAAATATTTGCTGGATCATCTTCTGTAATTCAGTTTGCTCATGTGCTAAGATACCCATCTGTGGCCCTCCTTTATGTGATCACCACTATCAAACAAAGATAGTGCACTTTGGAGACTTACTGGTGATACACTATTTACCAAATGCCCCTTTCACAGGAGTTTCAATTGGTGCCAACTTGGTTCTTCTGGACACATGGCATTCCTGCCCCCTTTAACTGTTATAAGTTTTTACCATATTTAAGTTGGTATAAATAGGTATTGATTCAATTTTTATTGCTTCATTAGGTCAGTTGTTTTGTTTTCCCTTTTTAAAAGCTGTCCTGTGAATGCCAACATTCACAGTACAAGTTAAAAAAGAAATAAAAGAAATAAAAATGAAACAGAAAAAAATAAAAATAACCTTGAGTTGCTCTAATATGCCTTTCCTTCAAAAGGCAGTTTAATGTAAGTCTCTAAAAGTTTCCAGTATAGATGGAAATGGTTAAGTAACTTAAGGGAACTATACCTCTTCTTTCTGCTAAACATTTTCGCAGCAATTTAACAGCTTCCCTTTGCCCTTGCTTGGCAGCAAGAATCAGCCACTCAGTCCCACTGCAACTGTTTAGTTCCTCATCCTTGTGTTCTGCAAGGTTCAAGTAGTGTTTTCCCATCTATAAAAGAAAGATTATATTTTATTTAGATAGCTTGCAATTTCTATCCTACATGTAAACAAGAGTTGTATTTACAAACCCTTGCCAGGCTAGCCATACTCCATGGCACATTATGTTTCTGAGAAATACCATGTATCAGTCATAAAAAAACTGAACAAAACCAAAGGAAACAGGCTCACATCCACACTTGCTCAACATCTTTAGTTGGAAAAGAATAAAAACCAAACTTTTCAAGCCATGGTCATACAACATCTCCACAAAAGATGAAAGTACAGAGCCTGAACTCGCTGGTTCACATTGGTGAATCCAGTCTGTATCTAACAACTACAGTAAAACCATGGATTGCAAGTAACTTAGTCTGCAAGCGTTTTGCAAAACAAGCAAAAAGTTTTTCTAAATTTTAACTTGATAAACAAGCAATGTTTTGCAGTACGAGTATTACACGTGCTTTGCCTGCCAAGCATCACATCACAACTGAGCGCTGGTTCTTCTTTTTCTCGCTGCGGGTATGAGTACAGCATCGTCTTCCCCTCCCAAGCGTGCCCACGATCGCGCCTGCCTCCCCCCACTGTGCCCACCTCCTCCCGAGCACATCCGTGATCGTGCCTGTCTCCCCCCCAGTGTGCCTGTCTCCGCCCCTGCCTCCAAGGGCACCCGCTTCAACTTTTTGTGATAAAAACAAAAAGCTACAGAATGGATTAACTTGATTTACATTGAACCTTATGGGGAAATTTGCTTTGATATACAAGTGCATTGGATTACAAGCATGTTTCTGGAACGAATTATGCTCGCAATCCAAGGTTATACTGTATTAGACATCTAATGCTTTGGATAACCAGAAAAGGTACTTGGGGATTATTTTCAGCAATGGACAGAGGATAACAGCACATACTGTGCAACAGAGAAGAAGAGTCTTCAGCAGTGTGATGCAGTGGTTAAAAGGGCGAATGCCACCTTTGGTTGCATAGCCAGAAGTGTGGCTTCTAAATCGAGAGGGGTATTACTGCCACTCTATACAACACTGGTGCGCCCGCAACTGGAGTATTGTGTTCAGTTTTGGGCCCCTCATTACAGGAAGGATATAGCCAGGTTAGAGTCAGTGCAGCATAGGGCCACAAGGTTGGCGGCCAGTTTGCAGGGGAGATGTATGAGGTGAGACTGAGGGAACTGGGTCTCTTACAGAAGCCTAGAGGAGACTCAGAGGGGATATGTTGGCGACATACAGGTATGTGAGGGGGTGTCACACAGAGGTGGGTAGAGACCTGTTTTCCCCTGCAGAGGAAGGCAGGGTGCGCTCCAATGGAGCAAAGCTCAGGGAAACAAGGTTCCATTTGGATACCAGGAAGCACTTCCTGACAGTTAGGACCCCAAGGGTACGGAGTGGGTTTCCACAGAATGTGGTTGAGGCCCCATCGATGAGGGTGTTCAAGGATAGGCTGGACGTTCACATGGTGGGCATGTCGTGAGCGGAGCCGGCTGGTGTGGGAAGTCAGACTAGATGGCCCGGGAGGCCCCCCCTGACTCACTCTGTTTTCTATGAATGTGAGTGAAAGTGATTTCCCTTATACTGTAGTCAATAAAAGGGCTCTTGATTTGTAAATACTGGCTGTTTGTGTGGCTACTTCTATCTCCACTCTCCGAGCGAGCTCATGGGGTGATAAGCGCCGCTCAGGATTGAAAAGAACAGAAAGGTCCTTTTGTGACACAAGGACAAATTACTAACATCTTCATTCCATAAAGAATTGGAAAGACTTCCTTCTGCTGCAGGAGCTGTGGCAAACTCCTTGTCTTAGGAATTTGTAGATCTAAAATTTTACCTGAGTACACTGAAGCCTTTGGCTAGTTCTGAAAGAAGTGGGTGTGTCTCAGCATTTGTTTGTCATGATGCACAACCTTTATCATGGACAAGATGCTTCCATTGGGACAGAATATGGAATTCACTGCCACAGGAAGTGGTGATGACCACCAATCTGGATTGTTTTTAGTTTTTAGCTCAACTCAACGTTTTTTGTGGAACCACATTGCTTTCTTCTAACTTCTGCTATCTTTTGTTTTTGTTCAAATTATTTGTAATTCTGCCTTTAAAATTCCTTAAAAAAAACAAAAACCTCCCACCCATCTTGAACTCCTCTCCCCTCCCCCCACTTTTTTAAAGGTCCTTGCCATGGGAGCTCACTGGTCATTGCTCTGACCTTATTAAAATCACCTTTCCCAAAAGCCAGAGTACATATATGGCCATGTTCAAAATGCTTCCTTTAAAATCAAGAACCCAAGTATGTTTGGCCACTTCATACAGTTGCAAGGAACCTAGAAGGCCACTGGGTCCAACCTCCTGATCAAGGCAGGACGCAGGTCTCCCATCCAGATTCTAACCAAGCCTGACCCAGCTTAGCTTTCAAGGAACTCTTCTGAACTCCACTGCAGTCAAAGACCTGACTGAAAATGAAAGCGATATCATCACCCCAAAAAGAATTCTGAAATTCATTGCAGCCCTAGTCTACACCCAAAAATTGCAGCATTATCCTGATTCTTACAGTGGTATGAATCTTCCTCAATCCAACAAAAGGCTTGAAAAATCTCAAGCATCAAGTTGAGGCTGATCCTTTACTCAACTACAAGTAAGAGATAACTGGAAAGTGGTAAATATGGGGAAATTCTCACAGAGGAGGAGTCAGGGAGGTAAATGAAGCAATTTTTCTAAAATGTGATTTTGCTTACAGGAATTCCTATGCAATATTCCATCACAATTATGGACAAAGTTGGAAAGAGGGCATATAGGAACAGGGTGTGTCAAGAGAACTGAGTTGAGCAAGGTACTTACCCCTGCCTCAAGGGCAAGGGCTTCCATTGCCTGAGTGTCCTGGTCCAGTGATTTTATCCACGAAGTCATCCCTATTTGTCAGTATTAAGTCAGCAGGAGATCCAAGATGCATTAGGGCAGAGAAAGGCGGAGCTGAAGAAGCTGGGGGAATACAGAAGAGTGGCAAAGAACTTGGGAAAGGAAGGTCGGAGCTGGGAGGTGCACTGCGCCAGCATAAGCCCAGCATGACTCCTGGTAAAGTGAAAAGGGGTAGGGCCTAGGTGCTGGCTCCCCACAGGACAGCCATTGGCACCACACTCTCCATCGCCTGGCACTGACCTGAGGCTGAGAAATCCATTTTCTCCACTTGAGCAGGGTGAGGCTGCGGGTCCCCTGGGGGACCAGGCTGTTTGGGAAGCCCTGTGTGAGATCAGACATGGCCAGGTGGGCACTGCTGAAAAAGTGACTGATGAGGAATGCCCCCCTATGAAGATACACTCCATGGATCTGTAACCAAGCGAAAACACGATACTGTTGAAACCCAGTCACTGACACCGAGTGGAGTTGGCAGGTGGGTTGTGTGAATGCACAGATGGCCACTTGAAGAACAACATTTTCAGGTAAGCAACCTGTCTTTCTTCATCGTAGCCTCTGTGCATCACACATATGGGTGACTAGCAAGCTTACCAGACCCAGAGGCGGGGTGGTGTTGTCACTGAAGAACAGAAGAAAGGACTGCACGACCAAAGGAGCAATCCTGTCTGGCACACACATCAAGGCGGTAATGTCTGGCAAATGTGCAAGGGGTAGTCTAAGCGGCTCCCTTGCAAATGTCATGGAGCGGAATCCAGCAGAAAAAGCATAAGAAGCTGCAACAGCCCTCGTGGAATGGCCTCTGGGTATGACAGGTAAGTCCAGTTTAGAAAGCTGATAGGCCAGCTCTATGGTCTGGACAATTCATTTCGAGAGCCTTTGGGATCCGATGGGAGACCCCTTGTCATGTTCAGAGTACTTGATAAAAAGATGTCTGGTATTGCAGAAAGATTCTGTGCGAGACCTGCAGAAGGCGAGGCAGTGACGAACGTCAAGGGAGTGTAGCAAGCGCTCTATGGGTGTAGACGGAGTAGGAAAAAATGCTGGTAAGATAATGTCCTGATTGACATGGAAGGGTGACACGACTTCCATGCTGGATCAGTACACAGAACGACCTTCTCCTTGTAGAAATTGAGATAAGGAGGGTCTATATGGAGTGCACAAAGTTCACTGGCCCTTCTAGCTGATGTGATAGCAATGAGGAAGGCAGTCTTCCATGACAAGAGACATAAGTCGGTAGTCACCAAGGGCTCGAAAGGAGGTTTGGTGAGCACTTGAAGGACAACAGAGAGGCTCCACGTCGGAACAATTGACCTAACTGGTGACTGGATATTCTGTCATCTTCTAAGGAATCGACGAATAAGGACGTTAGAGAATACCGATGAGTCTGCCACCTGGCCACAGTAGTGAGAGACTGCGGCGATGTAAACTTTAATGGATGAAGGTTTGAGTCCATTCTGGTCTAATGATAAAAGAAATTGAAGAACATTTTCAATAGAGGCTGAATAAGCAGTAAAGTGGTTGGTTTTGGCAAAAGATGTGAAATGTTTCCATTTAGCTGCATACGAACACGAGTTGTAGGTCTTAGTGCAGACTGGAGAACTAATTGAATATCAGGATGTAGAGCACTTGAATCTGATGGAGTATTTGTCGGTATTGAGGGAGGATGAATGGCTGTGTCTTGCCGGACAGACGGAGAACAGTAGGATACCAGGGTTGGCGAGGCCACCAGGGAGTGAAAAGAATTCCTTGAGCCTCAAAGGTGATCTTGGCAAGAATTCTCATGATAAGTGGTACCAGAATTCTTGTATAAAAGAATGTGTTCATCCATGGGATCATTAGAGCGTCCCCTCTCAAACCCAGACTGATCCCCTCTCAGGAGCAATAGGCTTTGCAGACCGTATTCACGAGTGTCCGGAGGGCCCCAGGTCTGAAAAAGGTGATGACAGATCTGACAATCCAACTCCCATTTGCGAGTCTTCGACATCTGTCTGCTGAGGGCGTCCTCCTCCTTGTTGTCAGTACCGGCTAGGTGAATGGTGAGGAGGGTGATTTCCCTTGGAATGCACCAGTCTCACAGTTTCATTGCTAGATGAGCCAGGGAAGCAGACTTTGTTCTGCCCTGTTTGTTGATATAAAACACAGTCACAATGTTGTTGGAGGCTACTTGAATAACTTGGCCCCAAAGAGTATTCTTGAATGACCAAAGGGCTTTGAAGACTGTCAGCAGCTCTAGGTAGTTGATGTGTTTGCCAGCCTTGTGATTGTCCCAAGTGCCCTGAGAGTTCCCCAACCAGTGAGGGAGACATCGGTGAACAGAGTCAGTGCTGGATGAGGTGGACGGAACAAAATGTCAACAGACAGATTGCTTTGTATAGTCCACCATGACAGGGTATGGAGAACAGAGGCTGGGAAACGAAGAGGCCAGTGAGGTGAATCTCGTTGAGGTTGGAAGAGGCCATTGAACCAGAGTTGGAAGGGCCTCATCCATAGACTGGTGTATGGGACCACAGAGACCATGGAAGCCATATGTCTGAGGCGCTTCTGTACCAACAGTGCTGGAACAGTTCTGTCCATGTGGATCCACTGAATGGATGCAAGATTCTCTAGCCGTCCTTGAGGAAGGAAGGCTCTTGCGATTGTGGAATCAAGACAGGCTCTGATGAAATCGATGATCTGTGAAGGAACAAGGCATGGTTTTTCGTAATTAATACGCAGTCCCAAATCATCTAAGAGGGTGCATGTAGTTCGAATCAACAATCGAAGGCCTTCTCTAGATGAGGAGACGATCAACAAGTCATCAAGGTAAGGGAATACTTGAATTCCCTGAAGCCAGAGGTGTGCACACACCGGGGGCATGCATTTAGTAAAGACCTGTGGAGCAGTAGCCAGTCCAAACAGTAAAACTTTGTATTCAAACAGGTCAGAACTGACCGTAAACCGAAGAAGTCGCCTGTGAGACGGGTGGATGCTAATATGGAAATAAGCATCCTTTAAGTCCAAGGAAGCGAACCAATCCTCTCTCCTGAGCAACGGAAAGAAGTTTTGAAGAGTGGTCATCCAGAATTTCTTAGTTTTGATGAATTGTTGATGCCACGTAAGTCTAATATTGGGCGAAGATCACCGTCACATTTTGGAACTGTACAATATCTCGAGTAGAAACCATGTAACCCCTTGGAGAATGAGATTTGTCGAATTGCTCCTTTATGAAGAAGCTGCTGAACTTCATCTTTGAGAACCGACGACAGAGACATATATCAGATTGGGCCCAATGGGGGTATGATATCAAACTTGATTCTATATCCGTGCTCCACGATGGACAGCACCCACTGATCAGATGTGGACTCCCAAATGGGGGGTCGACTTTGCAGCCGATCCCCAAAAGGAAGAGGAGAGGGTGGGTTCAGGAGAGGAGAAAAGGTTCGCTCAGCCCGTCAATGCCAGCACTTGTCAGAATCCGGATGGCGATGGCTCTCCTGATAGCACTGAGGTGGTTGTTTTCGGTGCTGCTGACGAGGCTGAAACTGCTGCTGGCCGGAGAACTGCATGTAAGGTTGATACTGGTAGGAGGGATGGGACCAAGACCACTGTCTGGATTGGTTGGGGACTTCCATACAACGAGCTGTCACTTGTGATTCCTGGATGATCTTGAGCTTGTGGTCTGTCCTGGCATTGAACAGCCCTGAGTCATCGAAGGGCATGTTCCCTATGCGGCGCTTTGTCTCATCTGGGAAGTTGCAATTCTGGAGCCAGGCATGGCGATGGAGGGTACAGCACCAACGAGGGCCCTCGAGTCACAATCAACATGATGCCTCACTGTAGATTCAGATTTTTTAAGGCATTTCTGTTTACCTACTTGGAAAGAATTTGAAAGGAATATTCTCTTAACATCTTGTCTGAACTTTAATAAGACCTTAATTTTGCATTTGCAAATTGTATGCTACATTGTAAACTGACCTTGGCTGAAGCTTCAGTGTGAGAGAAAAGACAGCTATCGTCCTCCTCTATTGCCTTTTTCTGAGGGTGGGAGTTGTTCAAGCCAGGTGATTTTTGTTGTTGTTTCTGACCTGATCTATATATGATTTGTTACAAAGAACAACTACATCTCCCTGATGGGACTGGGGGTGCAATTTCTCTGTTTTTTTCTGGTCTGGGTCTCCCTCGTCTTTGGCCATGGGTGGCAGAGAACAAAGAACAAAGCATGATGAAGCACAAAATGAGTTGAAGACTATTAGCGCCACTTGTTGGACTTGAAGACTGTTTTCATAGCAGGGGGCTTTGACTTCCAGTGTCTGAACAATGCCTCTTTTAAACAAATTAATCCAAACAAATATTTTAATAGAGATAGAATGGGATTAATAATTCTAACATTGATAGAAGGCTAGCTAATTGGCTTTATCTACCTCTGTCCTTTTTTCCCTCTCTCTTCTTGCCTTTTCTTCTTTCTTTCTTCTTTTCCTGGTATCTCCTCCTCTCTTAACTTTTCTGCTTTAAGCTGTAGTGTTAAATTGTGAATTTATTCATAGTCGTGAAGAAATGTGAAAGGCAGATGTGTGGAGGAGCAGAGGAAAAGAGAGAAGAACTAGTGAGACAAGGAAGTCTGAACTGGATGCTGGAAAACTGATGATCAGTTTGAAAAGAGGTTATTGTCCAAGCATTTTAAATTTAATATCAGAGACAAAATGATGATTTTATCAATAAACATTAATGGATTGAACTCTTCCCAAGAGAACTAAAGGGGTTTCCTATGCGTCCTGAGAATATGCTTTTAAATATGGTGCCAGAGCACCTTTCCAAGAATATGTCAGAGTTATTCAGGTATGTGATGACTGCAGCAAGAATCACTGTTGCTTCTGGATGGAGGTCATTGCAGTCCCCAACAACTGAAGAGTGGAGAAGTGGACTGGCGGAGTGCACTGTGATGGCAAAGTTGGCTGGCTGTGCAAGTAGAAGACTGTTAGGGGAATTTGATGATAAATGGAAATTTTACTGTGCTCAGCATGATTAATGGGATCTGAGGGAAGTTTAGAAAAGAAAAGGAAAGCAGTAGAGGATTTAAAGTGATTGGAAGATTTGTTGTTTTATAGATCAATGATTTCTTTTTTTGTTAAACACTATGAGGGGGGATGATTGTATAAGTTGGATCTGTATAGAATTCCCTTGACAACTTTGTCCATTTTAGCTTACTCTGATTATTTTAGTTTTGTTTTCCATTCTTTTTATGTTAAGAAAATAAAAATAAAGGAATAGATCAATAATTAGCACACAGGGTGAGAGCTCTATCTGGTTTAGGAATTAACTGTACTATGAACATCACTGAGTACTGACAAAAGAAAACCTATTTCAGATTTAGAGTTATAGAAATGATAAAGCTCAGGAACCAGAAAAATAAAAAATGATTTATTTTACAGAAAATGTTTTATTTCTACTGAATTGGAAAGAGAGCCTTTTGTCAGCCACAGCTGGCTAATTATGGACATTCTTAGAGAGTGATAGATTAGTCATGGTAATACAGGCATTGATAACCTCAGATTCTCTTACTGAAACCTGCTGTATTGGGTGCTGCCTTTGTAAATGGTCCAGAAGCCATAGCTAAGGCTGGACACAGTAGCAAGGCTGCTAACAAGGGCAGTAACTTAAAGTCTTGCTAAAAGATTTGCACAGGCTGCCAATATGGTACTTGGCAAAACTGAAGATGATGTTAATATGTAAAATCCTAAACTCCTTTGGCTCAGTTTTTTTCCAAAAGTACCACCAGGCAGAAATGAAAATTCCAACTCTACTATTCTATGATTCTAAGCTGAAGTCTTGCCACACACCAAAGATGGAAAATTAATCTGCTAGCATAAACATGCCAAATCAGGTAGTACCATTAGCCCAGTCTATTCAGCAACAGGGATGTGCTCCATTTTTCTCTATTTAAGTAGTGCAAGAAGGGAACACTAACTGCAAGCAGGCATGAAAATATGCCTGAAAGTTGATACTCCCCCAGACCTGCCACAAGTGTCTTTCAATTCCTCCCAAAAAGCTATATTCTGCAATAAAAATGAAGCTCATAAAAATAGTACAACAGTATTTATAATCCTATAAAGTTGAATTTACAGCATAAGATCTGAAACTTCATTTAGTAAAAGGTCTTCAACACAGTTTATAAAAAATGTGTTGTGACAAAGCATGATGAATTACCTCTGTCTGGGCTTTAGGATCTCCAGATCTTGCTCTTTCCATCAATTCTTCAAAATACACCTCTGGTTCTTCCATAATGACCTCTAACAAAAAAAAAAAAAAAAAATCAGAAGAGACTTAAACTTTATTTGCAGTCTGGTATAAAAAGGAACTTTGTGGTTAGGAACATATATAAGCACCAGGCAACTGTGCAGTAAAGTGAATCAGAGCCAAATTAAGACATGTCTGCCAAAGTTCTAACTTTCAGAAATGCATGCTTTGCCCCTGCAAATGATAGGATTAACAAATCATGAGATATTTCACATTTATCATTTTTAAAGGTTTTCATATTTTGATGTTCTGTTTGGTATATGATTAGCTTTACTATGCAGGAATTGTAGTGAGTTATAGTTGGACTTAGGTCCACTCTAGGGTAGCAAACGTGTGTGCGTGCAAAACCACTAAACTTCACAAGTAACACTAACATTCTACTTGTTTACTGTTTCTCTCTTCCCTACCTCCTCCATTAAGTTGATTAATCTTTATCTGCAGGACATGTTTATTTTCAGATTAAAACCAGGCCCTTTAAAGAGCTCTGACTCATATAAATTAATGGCTATTATTCAGAATATATGCATATTTTAAAAGGTCACCTTCTTGCTTCTTGGAAGGAAATTAGTATCTCCTCTTAACTTTTTGAAGGCAATATACACTCCTGCTATATAACTCATGACCTCAAAGGAGCAATCCTAAGCCCCTGAATTCAGTGGCTTGCAGTCATCCTAAGAAGGGCAGGAAGAGTGACAGAGGAAGCTTCATCTCCATGTCCTCTGACCTTGCAGTTTTCAAAGCTTTTTGTGGGAGGAGGAAAGTCAGTTGGAAAAGTTTCAGAGCAGCTCATAAACACTTCCTTCTCTGACTCAATTAGCCAGTTGTGCTGATTTACAATTAGGCAAACTGCAGCCTGCTATCTGTTGCAGATAGCAGCATTTCACCCAGTGTTGACCTTGATCTTTCAGACTGGTCTGGTCTTTGACTTTTGCTTACCCCCTGGACATGCTGCCTGACCTAGATGTTTCACACAATGAATTCTATAGCCTGACCTCTGGCCTATGGTTTCTCCTTTTGAAGGTATTATAACCTGGACTTGGCACTTGCTGGCACAGGAGCAGGAAAAAATCTGAACTAATCTATGACACTCTGATGCTGTCTAAGAGCAACAGGATTGCTAAGTCTTCTGAAAAAAAACCCTATGTATGCTTCTTTGCCATGAAACCCCATGGACAGTACCAAAAGGCAAAAAGATATGATGCCGGAAGATGAACCCCTCAGGTCGGAAGGTGTCCAATATGCTACTGGGGAAGAGCAGAGGGCTAGTATTAGTAGCACCAGAAAGAATGAAGCAACTGGGTCAAAGCCGAATGGACACTCAGTTGCAGATGTATCTTGTGGTGAAAGGAGAGTCCGATGCTGTAAAGATCTATACTCCATAGGAAACTGGAATGTAACATCCATGAATCAAGGCAAGCTGGATGTGGTCAAACATGAGATGACAAGACTGAACATCGACATCTTAGGAATCAGTGAACTAAAATGGACAGGAATGGGTTAATT